CCCAGTACCACCGGCACCGATGAGGACGAGTCGGTGACGCTCAAGTTTGAGAAGATTAGCTTTGAGGGGAAGAATTAGGTGTGAGTGAGAAGATTTTAAAGTGATATTGGAAAGTGGTCTTTTGCGTTTTTATCCCCTCCCCTCCCCTCCTCTCTTCTTTTGATTCCAACGATTTTATTTGCAGATGATGATGATGATGATGACTTGTGCTATCCTTTTTTGTTAACTTATCTCTCCCGCCCCTCTGTATTACTTTGCAATTCCGTGTGCATGTTTGATTTTAATCCCCACCTCCACCACCACTTGATGATAAATACAAAATATATTTTCGTAATCTTTAGGAATTTGTACAAGTCTTTATTATTAGAATCGGGCGGCTTAAAAACGTCCCAACAATGAGTATAAAAGAGAGGAAGAAAAATCGAACCTTGATGAGCTGATATTTATCATGAGAGAGAGAGAGAGAGAGAAAAGGGAAAAAAACTTGTGGCAAAAAATGCAAGGGTGAATGAGTGGGCGTGTGTGCGTGGAAGTTTGAATGCGGCTAAAAATTTTACAGATCTTCTTCATCCTCCTCTTCCGCCTCCTCAATCTCCTGCTCCATCATCTCCTCAAAAAGTTGTTCAGCCTCGATGTCTTCTTCTTCTTCTTCTTCGTCCTCTTCTTCTTCCTCATCTTCATCCTCGTCCTCTTCAGGATCAGGATGATTCTGCCGAACGATTCTATATCGGGGACGCTTGGGCTGGAGAGTACCACCGTCGCCTTCGTCACCCCCTTCTTTATCACCACCTCCATCACCACCACCTTCTTTATCATTATCATCTTCACTGATAAGAGCGTATCTGTTGACGGTACTGTACTGCAGGCCTGACACGGCCGCCTCCGCCTCCTCCTTTTGCTCCTGTAGCTGTTCCCTCTGTAGCAACTGTAGCTCCTGCGCCGCCTGGTGCTCCCGCTCCACCTTCTCCTTCACGCGGTGGACGCGCAGGTGCTCCGTAAGGTTCTCCTGTCGCAGAAAGGAGCCCGGACACTGCGGACACTGGTAGCGATCTGGGCGGGTGTGGTGGTCGCGACAGTGGCGAGTCATGTCCCGAGCGGCCGTCTTCCCCGTGTACACCTTGTCACACTTGTGGCACTTTAGCGAAGGAAGGCGTGGCCCGTGGGAGTTGTCCGCCTTGAGAAGCGCCCCCGGTGCGCTAAAGTCCTGTTGCGGCTGTTGCGGCTGTTGTGGTTGCTGTTGTTGCTGCTGCTGTTGTTCGATTTGAGAAGAGGAGTTTGTGGAGTTCAAAGTTAAAGGTAAAGGAAGGTCAGAGTTGATGGTGATGGAGGTGTAGGATCGGTCCTGCTGCTGAGAACTTCGAGAACTTCGACGGTTTTGAGAAGAGGAAGAAGTGGTTTTGTTGCGGCGCTTGGAGATTATATTTGGTATCAGCGGTATTGAAGAGGATGGTGAATTGGTGGTGGTGATGGAAAGTTGAGGAGTGGGTGGTGACGAGGCGGTGACCAGCTGAGAGGAGAAAGAAGTGTTCAAGGACTGCAACGAGGTGGAAGTAGTACCGGAAGCAGTACCGGCGAGCAGCTGGCGAGTGACGTCATCGCTCAGCTCCAGCAGCAGCCGCTGGACGCCGTTCTCCTCGGTGAGGTGGCCGACGATGGTGGCCGTCTCGAAGAGCGAGTCCTGCTGCTGCTGCTTGCCTAGTTTGCAGAGATCTAGGGAGAGAAAGTAGAAATGAGAAATAGAACAGCTAAAGCTGAAAAGCTTACCCTGAAAGACTGTCGGACTGGAGTTTTCTAAAACAGCAACTGAGCCATTGCCACTGTTTCCATTGCCATTTCCTCCTCCTCCCTGGGCCAGCTCCAATGGCTGCAAGCTGAAGAGACTGTTGGCCAGCTGAGACAGCGGAATGGTCACCGCCTCGCCGGTGGCCACATCAGTGGCGGTGATAAGCTCGGGAAGGTGATTGAGATTGAGATTGAGAATGAGATTAGTTTGGTTGTGATTGTGATTTAGATTTTGAAGATTTTGCTGCTGTTGCTGTTGCTGATCTCCCAAGCTCTGCTGCTCATCGGACGCCAAGACGATGTTGTAGGTAGTCGGTCCCATAGTCCTCTTCTTTAGAACCATCAGAAAATCACAGGCTGATACCTAAAAAAGTGCAGAGAAAGAAGATTCGAGATTAGAAGAATGAAAGAAGAAAAACAGTTGCAGGATTCTCTCAAACCTCAACAATGTACAAAAGAGTGCTGCTGTCAAATGTAAAATAAAAGCAGGCACTTCCAGGGATAAAATTTAAAAATCTTGAATCTGCTCAGATGAATCAGTCTTTTCAGGGGTGTAAATCAGTGGAAGAATCCGGCGAAAGATTCTCGAAAGAATCCGCTGGACTCGAAGGATTCTTCTTCTGGTTTTGCGGCGGCGGCGGCTGCTTTTGTTGACAGACACAAAAGCTGCATCTGCTGCAGTGCAGACGGTCACTATTTCCACCTAAGGTGGAAAAAGCGGCGGCAAAGAGAAACGTTCCCGTAAAGCGTCCTCGGGAAGTCAGTCTTTCCAGCAGCAGCAGCAGCTTTTCAGTTGTTTTGATTTTCTGCCGAGGTGACCACAAAAAACTCTCGGCGGAAAAGTCATCTCACTGTCAAATGTGATATTATCTTCTCCTCACATTCTTCTTTTACCTTCAGATCTTCTAGTCAGTCTTGAAGCAGAGAAGGAGAATCAGAACAGAAATCATGGCAAGTTGCCGAAGCAGATCGATCCACTGTCTGCGAGGTTGGCTGGCGCTTGACACTTCTTCCTCATCTTCTTCAAGACTTTCAGTTCGCTGCTTCCATCACCACCACCACCATCACCAGGCCCGGTTTCACTTTAATCTGCTGTCTTCCACTTCATCACCCTCATCACCCTCATTAACATCAACAACCACAGTCTTCCAGCGTCACCTCTTTACCTCATCCTTTCGACGTAGTAATAAGAGTGAAGAAGCTTCTAGCGAAGATGATGGCGCCAAATCGAAATCCGCCGCCGCCACTGAAACTCCTTCTTCAGAGAAATCAGCTCCTTCTTCTTCTTCGGCTCCAGAAAAAGAGGTCCCAGCTTCTTCCGCCACCACTACCACCACCACCACCACCGCCTCCTCTGAAAGTATTCGCGTCAAACCGAAGGTCAAATCGCCCTCGGCCACCTCCCTCTCACCCACCGTCGGTCGAAACTTCGTCACCACGACCCGAGCGATGCGCGAGTACGCCCTCGACATCGCCGACCTGGGCGACCTGCGCAAGTTTCAGCGCCGCTCGCCCTACAACAATGAGCCCCCGATCACGGTGTACCTGCGCAAGGACGTCGAGGCAAAGTAAACGCTGATCACTGAAGACCTTGATTTCGAAATTCAACTAAAACCTTTTTTGTTTGTTTTAGAGCCCTTGAGATCTGGGGCACCTGGGAGCGGCTGAACGGTGAGCTTCAGAAACGAAAAGAGAAGGAGGAGAACTACAGTGAGAGTAAGTTTGGAGGATTTGATTTTAAGAGACTTCTTTTAGAACTCATCAGTATCTTTCTTTCCTAGGCTTACTAATCGTCAAAAAGTACAACAAGGACTACCGACGGCTGAACACGCCGGAAGCCAAGGTAGGTTTTTCTTTTTCGAAAAATCCAAACTCCTAACCTCCCATTTTCGAATTTCAACTCCTCAGCAACGCGAAGACACAATGCGCGAGTCGGGCCGCGTCGTCCTCGCCGCCGTCGCCATCAACGGGGCCAACTTCGTCCTCAAGCTCTTCGGCTGGCTCTACACCGGCTCGCACTCGCTCTTCGCCGAGGCGATCCACTCCCTCGCCGACACATGTAACCAGATTATCCTCGCCTTCGGCATCCGCAAGTCGCTACAGGTGCCCAACAAGGAGCACCCCTACGGCTACCACCCGATGCGCTACATTGCCGCTCTCATCAGCGGCGTCGGCATCTTCTGCACGGGCACGGGCGTCTCCCTCTACCACGGCGTCCACGGCCTGCTACATCTCACCTCCGAGATGGCCCCCGACACCAGCTACTACTGGGCCTTTTTGCTACTTTTGGGCTCGCTCATTTCGGAGGGCGGAACCTTGGTCATTGCCCTGCAGGCCGCCTCGAGGGCCGCTCGCCAGCAGAACCTCCCCCTGAAGCGGTACATCCTCCGCGGCGACGACCCCACCCTAAATGTCGTTATTTTGGAAGATGCTGCTGCGGTCCTCGGCGTCCTCATCGCCGGAAGTTGCATGGGCCTCACCTCCTTCTACGGCATGCCCGTCTTTGACGCCGTCGGCTCGCTGGCCATCGGCGGCCTCCTCGGCGGCGTCGCCTCCTTCGTCATCGTCTCCAACGCCGGCGCCCTGGTCGGAAAGTCCATTGCCCCCGCCTCCCTCGCCACCATCAACCGCTGCCTGGAGGCGGACGAGATGGTGCGGGCGATTCACGACGTGAAGGCCACTAACATGGGCAACGAGGTGATTCGCTACAAGGCCGAGGTGGACTTTGATGGGCGGAAGCTGACCCGCAACTACCTCGACTCCGTCGACCTAGTGGCCCTGCAGCAGGAGCTGAAGGAGGTCGCCGAGGCGGGGGAGAACGGCAACCTCGAATCGGTGGAGGAGTTTATGCTGAAGCACGGGGAGAACATCGTCGACCTCCTCGGAGCGGAGGTGGACCGCATTGAGAATGAACTGAAGCGGAAGCACCCCCAGGTGAGACATGTCGACTTGGAGGTGCTGTAAAAGAAGGTGAAGAAGGTGAAGAAGATGTGTACTAAAAGTTGTTAAGTGATTAAATTGTAAAATGATAAGACGAATTGAGGAGGGTTCGGTTTTTTTGGGCGTTTTTATTTGGGTGGTTTTGCGATTTTTTTGGGCCTTTGATAGCTTTGGAGTTTTTTGTTTTTTTGGTGAGGTTTTTTTCTGTTTTTTACATCTTTTTGTACATGATGAGCTTTTGGTGGTTTTTTGTTTTTTTGGTTTTTTGTAAGTGGTTTTTCCGGTTGCTTAGTTTGTTTGTGAAATGGTTCTATGTTACAGGATGGGAGGTACTACTAAAAAGAGAAGGTAAGTAAGGTCCTAAGGAGACAGTGTATGTACAAGTATGTATGAACAAGTATGAACAAGTGTCTGTACAGAAGAAGGTGAGCTTGCTTAAACTTCCGCCACCTTCTTCACCCACTTCTTCGCGGCGTATTTAGTGACTGCTGAATAAGGGGGCGGTGGTGAACTGGCTGTGGTGGCGGTGGTAGTGGTAGTGGCAGTGGGCGAAGTATGGGCCGAAGGGGGCGGAGCCGGTGGACAGCCACTGCTAGCCTGGGAGACCTGGTGGGCGTGGTCAACCCCTCCTCTTTCACCCACTCCTTCAGCCGCCACTCCTTCCCCGCCCTCATCCTCGTGAATGACGGTAAGGATCAGCTGAAAAGCACCTCGCTCAGTGGGCAGCTCGTTGATAATGTTGGATTGGGGAGGAGCCGTGGTAATCACATTCTGCGGAGGATAACCTTCTGCCACACTTCTACCTCCTGGAACGTCATCCTCGAAATCAGGGGCGGAAGTTAGGGGCGGAAGAGGAGCTGTCCTTGGTGGAACACCACTTACTCCTCCTCTTCGAGGGTGAGGAGTTTGATTACGAGGGCGACTGTGAGGACGAGGGTGACGGAGGTGATGATCACCCACCTCAAATGCCGGATTATCAAATGACCCACCGCCGACAACACCTCTGAAGCCTCGACTGTGGAAGCGACGACTCAGCCCATGACCTCCCGGGTGGTACCGGTCACCCTCGCCATCGACCTCCGCCACCCTCAGCGGCAGCCCCGCCACGCCAATGTCCATCGGCACTCGACGGTCCCCGACAAAGCCGCTGCCGCCCTCAGGCCCCCCAACGTACACCTTCCAAATGGTGAAGCTCTGGTCGTGAGGGTCAATCCACCGACCGCGGTAGCTGACGAGGAAGCGGTAGTTCCAGGGCTCGTCCCACTCGGGATC